TTGAATAATTATTTTGGTTAGATGTTAACTCTGAAACTTGTTACCGGTTGCAATGCCTCTGTGCTTTTTTGCTTCAGGAGGGGTCTCTAGTGACATTTATCTGTTTTGTTTTTGTTCTGTACAAATCACTCTGAGTGAAGGGAAGCTGGGATGGGCTTTCATGTGCTCTTACATTTGTCTGAGTAGTTAAAAACTGATTGCCTCTTCTGCTGAGGTGGTATGTGAGTACTGAATATTCCTGCTTTATTCCAGTGCAAAGTAAGCGTGGTCAGTGAGTTACTTTCAGCAGAGCTGTTAAATAATTGCTTCTGCTCTGTGCTGGAGGAGGCAATTTTCAGGATAATGGAACAGTAACACTTGGAACTGCTGAAATATGATTGCAAAAGTATATCTGGCAATGTCCTGAGATTGGTTTCCAGTTTGAAAGCTGTGCTGTGTCTTTAATTGGTAGACAAAATTCTAATTGCAGTGGCCGTAACTACAATAAGTTAAGTATTTAATGGGAAGGCTCACTGAATCTCTTGGAGATGGTCATTCGCATCATCTCAGCTAATGAAAACCTGACTGCATCCTGTAGCCTAATCGAAAGTAAAACTCAATGAATCTTTGTTAACAAAGTTCTGTTTCGTTCATACAGCCATCACCTAACCATCCCCCTGGAACAAAGCTAATTCATTTTCCCAGTACAACAAAAGCTGAAAGCTCGTTAGAAGTAGTAAAATCAGAAGCTGAAAGTAAACCAAAAGGTAAGGCTGATGGAACTTTACATCTATTACTTGGTAGTCCTCTTTAGGGAAGTATTTGGTTGTCACTTTTTTTGCTGTTAAAATCTTAAATTTTTGTCTGTACTGGGTTTTTGTGTAATGTTCCGTACCTTTGAGGAGTTACGCAAATGCAAAAAAGTCTGAAGGAGTTTTTGCTTGCATTTCTGTGGAAAATGAATCAAAAACATTTGTAGGGTTGTCTCCCAGAACAATATAAGGCTAGGGTATGAAGTTTTATTGCAGCAGCCCCTTTGCATTAATTTGCTACGTTGACGTGCTCAAACTGACTGACTTCCTGCCTAGCTTTCGGTGTTCAACCGGGATGCTGGAAATTTATTGCTATGGAACAGTCCCCTAACTCAGTTTCTGTCCCTAGGCTGTAGAAGTGACTTTCTAGGCTCAGGATTTACTGTGGAGTTGCTAGTGTCTTGTCATAACTGTATGCGAAGTTTCTTGCATCAGAAAGTTGGTGCTTAGGTTTTGTTGAAATCTGTTCCCTAGATAATCCAGTTCCATGGTGGTTCTGTTTATAACTTATTTTTTATTTTTCTTTTTTATTATCTCTAAGAATTTATGACTTCATTTAACTACCAAATTGCATAGTTTTATCTAGAGAGATATTTTTAAGTCAACCCAAAACATCTTGTGGGAGTGCCAACCCCATATAAAAAAATAACTTCAATTATGTGATGTGTAGACAGCTAATTTCACCTGGTTCCAGAGCAGACCTTTTTTTGACTTCTGTATTGTAATTTCAAGTATATTTTTGTTTTATGTGGAAATACCTTATTTTGGTGTAAGTGGGTTGTTTTACATGGAATGCATAATTTGCAGAAATAAGAAAACTGTTACAAACAATTGACTTTTTGCCTATGTTCAGGAGTTGTGTAATCTAGCAGAACAGAGCACTTGAAATGTCAGGCTTGTTAGTCAGAGCCCTAGTTTATCTGTAGCTATAGCAGTGTATCGGGCATTCATGCCACTTTAGCCATATTTTGGCTTTATTGGATTGGATAGCTATAAATAGCATTACCATATTTACAAACAGCTCATTACTGTCAAGAAGTGTTTGATGTAATGGCTTGAGCGTAGTAAATACTTAAGTTTTACCATTGCAAAGCACATATCAAAAGTTTGTGTACGATGCATTCAATGGAAGTTGATGCTTACTTGCAGCTTTGAAATCTTTACTAAACTTCAAAATTGGGATAGTCTTGGGGTCTTGCTCTTAAACCATTCCAGTGCTATTGCTGTAAGAGCCAGCAAGACAGTGTGCAGCCCTGAGCATTGTGAAATTTGACTTGTCTAAAACTTTGCATAAAAATTAACCCGTCTGCCTAAAAAATCTGAACATTCAGTACTGAACACCCAGAATATTCGGTATGTAGCTCTTTTCATAATTTCAGATGCATCTCATACTAAAAGCATAGAAATTGGACTAATGCAGTAGTCGTGCTGAGTCTCTGCTCCCCAGAGAAATGAACACATCAGAGAGGAGCTCAAATATGGTAGTAATAGATGCTGTAGAACATCAGTAGATAATACCTATAGACAACATTTAAGAACATCTTACAACCTTTGGAAAAAAGCTTGTTTTCTTCCTTAGTGTTTTATTTTAATAGAGACCATATTATAGTTTATGTATATCATCCTCAGTTTTGAGAGAGCAAGTTTAAAATAAACTGTGTTCAATATGTTAGTAAATAAGCAGAGATCTCTAAAATGTTTAGACTAGTGTGGCTTATTTTGTGGTGTGGCTCTGCTATTTCTGGGAAGCTTGTTTTGGCCTCTGGTGCAAGTATGTAAAAATATTTTGTTTAAAAAATAAAATAATCACAATTTGACCCCTTTCCCCCCATTTCGTTAGACTACAACATCTGTGATTCCTGCTACTGTATTGTTAGTCCTGAGTCTTTGGAAAAGATTCCGTTTTAAACTACCTTTTACTAAAAATATTTACTGAAGTTCAGATTTACTGTTTTGTAAATACCATCTTAGATTTAAATGCTGGAAAGTTAAACTGGACTCTTTCCTCGTCTTAACTACTGGCAGAATATCAGGCTCACAAAATAAGATGCCGAAGTGGCAAATTGTACATAGTGTTAACGTAGGTGGCTGGGTTTCTAGGGTGGTGCTGACTGCTGGGGTTCGCAGCCTGGCACATACAGGGACCTTGGCAGGGTGGAGGGCTCCCTGTCTCCAGCCTGCCTGGCAGCTGGAGCAGAGTGAACGGTTCCCTTTCTGGCACGGTTTTCTGTCTCTTGTGGGACTTGGTGCATGTGAGGACGGGAGAAGTGCTTGGAAGAGGAGGAGGAGGAGAAGGACTGCATAGTTCAGCTGTACTGGCCAAATCCCCAGGCAGTAAGGAAATGCATGTATTTTTACAGAATCAGAATGTATAGAAATGTATTACACTTGTGTTACACTTATTAATTACTAATGAATAAAATCCCTGAATTTGATAGATATTTGTAGTGTACCTGTTAGAATTTTTTTTTTTTAGTCAGTGTGATTTTTCTTTTTTTTTTTTTTGACCTCGATTTAAACATTCATCTCTTTGACATGGTTCTGCTTATGTTTCTGTAGTTCTTCACAAACCACAATATAGTCAATCTATAGTTGAGCATTTTTGATCACTAGATAAGGCAGTAAAACAGTGCAAGTTCTTGTACCTAGGATTACTCATGCGGTTACGTATCTATATATGTCTATCTCTTAAGCTTGGCATACTTTTGCATTTTAACAGTGGTTGGCACTGACCAAGGTAGATTTTTTTTTTATATAAGAATACAATTTGTGCATTCTTTTAAATACAGATTTATATCTTGATTAAACAAAATACAACAACAACAAAAAGATTCAACTGCAACTCACTCATTTACTTTCTTACCATCCAGCAAAAGGCGGTCATTAACAAGTTGACTTGCAGACGATCCTAATGATGCCTTGATGTTGTGCTGTTAGATAACTGAGGGTTGATGCAGCCGCTCACTTGTGCGTTGTGTCAGTGCCAAATACCGACAGGTTATGGCAGCACATCAGAGTCCATTTTGTTTGCTTCCTCTTCCTTAATCTGTCAGAAATCCAGCCTTTTTATCAGCTGAATAATTTTATATGTGCTGGGGTTAAAAAAGGTGCAAAAAATGCTTTGCAATCAAGACTTCTGTATTAATGTACTTTGGCCTGCCTTATGTTGTTTTTGTTCTAGTGTGGGAAAGGAAAACAAATCCTCCTGCTTTTTTACCTGAAATCGTTATCACAATTTTAAATGGATTACTTATTGAACTGTACCAAACGGAAAGAAAGGAATTTATTCTTTCTACATTTTGCAGAGGGGGCTGTGACTGTCTGAGTTGATCACGCAGATGAGCTCAGGTTTCAGGTGCTTAGTCAAGGAATTCCTTTGCTTCAGGTAGTTGATTTCACTGCAGACTTTCAGCAAATGTGCTCCTTGGGTATTTGAAGTTTCTGTAATCATACGTGTTGTTAAAGGATGTCACTTTGAAACAATTGCATGTATTTAATTAGGATTGCAAATTTGAAATTTAGATCAATTTTGAGAAAATACCATACAAACTCTCAATGGAAAGCTTGAAACCATTTTTTACCTAAAGTAGCTCAAAATTGAATATATAATGCTACGGGGAGGGTTAGATAGGCTGTTACAATTGAGTAGGCTCCTCTTTTCTCCCTCTGAAGTCAGAGTACTTGAACTATGGTGCTGTTGTGGAAAAAAAATGTTTTGGAGCTTAAACTACTGACTTCACAAAGATTTATCTCCATTGCTCTGTAAATATATAATCTTATTTTTCTTGTGATACAAATGACATGGTGAACATTTGCAAAGCAGTCTCAGATGGCTAGTCTAGAAGGGAAGTATGTTTATAGTGATAATCTCTGAGCTCTCCTTTCAGACAGCACAAGTGAGTTGGTATTATGTATGTTACTACCCATGGTATGCAAGTGTAGTAATTGTGCTGCTTTGTTTCAGCCAAGGAATATTGCAGGACAATATTTTCCTATGAAGGCTCAAATGATGAACTCAGCTTTAAAGAAGGCGAGATCATTCAAATAATCAGTAAGGTAAGATGTTTGGTCTGCTTTAACCGTTTATATAGGTAGCTTTTGTGGGTTTGTACAGGTAGGTAATGTGTAAAATGGAAAAGCAGGAGAGTCTGTTGGAGTGGATATTCCCGTAGACTGATTTGTCTCATGTGAGGGTCAAATCTTGGCTTCTGCGCTTGGTGGAGATACAGATGTCCTTAACTTCCCACTCTGGAACAATCTTTATCTTAGACTCCTCAAAGGCCAGTCTGATCAGTGTACACCCAGTACCAAATGCCTTTTCAGTGAGGAAATTGGAAAAACTTTGCAAATAGCCCTCTTACCTTCAGAACTTGTACTTTTTCTCTGGTGATATATCAGGCTGACCTAGAGGTGATGGTTGGAAAGTATTACTGTGTCAAAAGGAGAGAAATTAAGATCTGTACTGACTGATTTTGATCTAGGTATTATGAAAAAAAAGAGCAAATGTTTTCAGTAGGAAAATGAAGTCCAGGTGTTAGAGACACTTGCTATTTCAGAATAACCATACCTAAGTTAATGATACGGTCTGGCTATTTAGAGAAAGATGATTATTTAGTTGAATATTTCTATTTGTAGAAAACACCTTTTTGAAAGGTCATCTTGTTACAGAGATGGTTTTTAACAGGCAATGAACCTACCCATACTTAATTTTCCTGCAGTACTCTGCAGTCTTTTGTTAGTTACTATTTAGATGCTGCTATATTAAGGAATAACAACTTGCCTAAAAAAAGTGGAAAGTTCTCCCCCCCCACCCCCTCCCGCTTTCACACAGTTGTGGAAGAAAAGTAACACTTTGTTTCTTTAGGAGGATTTTAGTTTATGGAAAAGATTGCTGCTTTTCTTAACAAGAAAATTGATATTATCAGTATTATTGACAGTAATTACAGTGGAAAAGAATAGTTATGGAAGGCACATTTTTAAACATGACAGCCCTTGGCCCAGGGGATTATCTTCACTGTATTTCTTGCCTCTCTGTTCTTTTTAAACTCATTTACCCAAAGCATACCCTGGTCCAAACTGGAGCGAAGAAGGGTTATCCAGAGCAGAGCTCTCCCTCCAAAACCATCTTCTGAAGTCTGAGTACATTAATTTAACTGTCAGGTGCTGACTCAGTCCAGGGTTTTGATCTTGCAAGTGTTAAGGTATTTTCTTCTAGCACATTCACTTTGTGTAAAGCCTGTCCCCTTCAGCCATTTCTTTTCTGTTTGTTCTGCATATGATCATTTTCCAAGGAGTTCTCTCTGACTTGCTATCATGCCTCAGCACTCTCTAAATGAAGTTTAGCAATGGATGCCTTATCCCATTCACGACTGCACACTGTTCAGAAATTGGACTCTACAGTACTTAATTGAGAGGGTGATGGAGGGAGAAAGGAAAGAAAACTTCAGCAAACTTTTACTTTCATCACTAATCACCCATTCAGGTCTTTTTCCTGCCTATTCCTCCTTTAGTTTAATGTGGGGTGGGATTTTTTTTTTGTTAAATTATTTTATTTTATATTTTATTTTCCCCCCTCTCCTTTACCTGTTCAGTGTCTCAGCTGAACTTAGTGTTGAATTGTCCTTGCTGTGGACTGAACTTCGGGATGAACTACTTGGTGCTGCTAACAGTGGCACATATCAGCAGTAATCCACTTGGGCTTGTATGCAGGAGTGACATCTGCAGTATTTTGCATCTGAGGCACAGAGGAAAGCTGTTATTTATGCTGCTAAAAATATTCAAATAACGTCGTACTTTCTGTTATGGACAAACTAAGGCCTTGATCCAGTGAGATCATGTAATGGATTTCTGTGCCACTGAATTAATTCTCCTTTTTTTTTTTTCCTTACGTCTTAATGTGGTCATTTTTTTTCCTCAGTAGGGTATATCCTATCGCTTCTTCATCCTTTTCAGACCGAGGGACCTGATCAATCACATCAGAATCGCTTTCATTTAGTAGAATTGTGCGTTACTCCAATGACACTTGAAGTATTTAGTGAATAAGTTGCCGGTCAAGGAAGTTGAGAATACTGGATGTTGTGCATTGGGTCATAACTGGGTTGATGTACTTTCCTTCCCTTTGCAGATCTTATCCTTATACCCTTATCTTACATATGATATGATATCATTTCATTCTGCTTTTTAGAAAAACAGAAAGTGACCAAACCTGATCTGATCTGTAGCTGTTTCCCCTTGTTAAGGTGGCCAAAGTATTCCTCTTATAAACACGGTATTTCAAACAAACAATTATTTTATATTGTGGGTAAAAGCAAAAACTTTGTTCCTGTAACTGTATCTCTTCTGGGGAAGAAGTAAATATTGATTGAAATATTCCTGTTGTTTATTTTAGGACACTGGAGAGCCAGGCTGGTGGAAAGGAGAACTCAATGGTAAAGAAGGAGTCTTCCCAGATAACTTTGCTATTCAAATACAAGAGTCTGATAAAGACTTCCCTGTAAGTTCTTACGTGTATCGTTTAGTAGCACAAAAAAGTATTGATGGAAATGCAAGGAATAAAAGACTTCACAGCACATTCTGCTGCTTAAAATATTATTACAGTTGTGGCAGTTTTTAACTTTATCTTGAATCGGCTATATCAAAGAAGAAAGATTTAAAGGTTGATGTTTGTGTTTAAACTTCTCCTTAAATGTTAAACTGAGGCATGCTTTTCAAGATTAACTGTAATTAATGAGGATGATTAGGTCATATAGAAAAGGATGTAGCTCTGATAACATGGTGGTATGTGTAACTGACTACTGAATTAATCCCTTACTGTTTTGGAAGGAGATAAGCAGTCGGTCTCTTCCATATGTAGTCCTGTCAGTAACTGTAACTGCAAAATGCTGAATGACCCCTGTGGGACCTACTGGGATTTTTCCATGTGAAGGCTTGCCCAGTAGGTTACAGTGCGTGAAGGATAATCTTTGGGTGGGATCTAGAAATACTTTTTTTTCCCCACCATCTCGCGTGCTAACTTGTACCACAGGAAAACATGAATTTCTACTCCTTGGTCTGGTAATTTTGGTTCTTATTTTATAATTTTTTTTGTTGAGATTAGATTGATGTTTTGGTTCTGACAAGTTTGTGTAGTAAAGATGGTTGTGTTAATTCACAAATGTACATCATCCCCAGATAGGATGGATTCAGCTCCAGTTCAGGACATCTAAATGTTGAAGCCTGTATCTCAGCAGAACAGAGTTTGAGTTTCATAGTAATTTAGTGCCATTTGGTCTGGAATTGGAGACACTCACAGAGGATTGCTAGATACAACCTGACAGATAGTTATTAACTTAGCATTAGCCTCAGTTACCTAACATACACAGAAAGTCTAGCTACTCCAAGTCAGGATTTTCTTTTCAAATTGATTCTCAGCTTTGCAAGGATGGCATAAATGCTGTAACATACGGCTGACTTGGTTTGAGGGGTGGGTGGGTAGTATCGCTGTTTCGCAATACAGAATTGCTCCTGTGAGAGAGGGGGGAAAATTATTCTTTTACCATAAACAATGTTTCCTGCAGACAGACCTTCCTTTATTCTGCTTTGTGTAGTGTGTCTCAGTACAGGGATTCACCTTGCCCTGAGCAGCTTCAAAGTTCGAGGCATTGGATGGCTGATTATTGTAATCAGCTATTTGATAGCGACTTAATAAAAACACATCAAAATCGTATCATGGCAAGCTGATGTTGAACTTTCAGTGTAATTGTTTTTGATATAGGCAGCAGTGCTGCACAGCTGGATAATGTATTTGATTTTTTGGGAAAAAAGGGAAATACGGTCTTGTTATTTAAGTTCAGTAGCTTTTGTGTTCTCTGGAACTAGAGAAAGAAATTTAATATGGGTTTTCATGCTTGCTTAATTACACTTCACTTGTCAGAATAAAATCTTTCTGCATTAAGAAGAGCTTATTCAATAGTGATAGGGGCACAGAAGTGAAATCCATCCACAGCAAGTGTTTTAAAAAATACCCGCTACAAGGCATTTTTGGAGGGGCTGTATTAGACTGAGCCCATACAGTTTCAGCAGTGTAAAGAACAAGTGTTTTTGTAGGCTTTTGTGATCGTTTTATTAGTGAGTCTTGCTCTAGAAGGGGTACCTTTGTGGTTGTACTACGGACATTTTCATGAATCAGATTCTGAGGATGAGGTGGCTGGAGGTGTCTGTCCTCAGAGGTGCCAGTTCTCCTTCAGCAG